AATGGAGCAGAGGTCAAACAATCGGGGTCATAATGCTGGCCCCTCCCCTTGTGTAAGTTCACCTGTATGCTGTTACTGTACCGCTTTGTATACCTGCGGGCCTGTTGCTTCACACTCAAATCCTTAGTCATCCCTCTTTATCTTGTTTACCTTGAAGGGACAAGTCTTACGACATAGATTAATGTGTGTGTGTAATACTGGCCCATGCTGAATAAAATATTCCTGGCTAAATAACTATGAAAGGGAGACGAAAAAGAGGAATAACAAGTTAGATAACGGATAACAGCTGTTTAAAATTACCCGTGACCTCAACCGTGATAAAAACTGAAGTGATATATCTAACACTATCGAAACTACCAATACTCGGACTTTTGTAATTTTTTATCTACTGATAAATAGAGAGACAGACGGAGGGATGGGTATAGCACTTTCAAAGGCTCGTTCAGCCACAGAACTCTGAGAATACGCCTTACAGTGTACCCCTTGCCCGCCAACTACAGCATCGGCTACTGTCAGTGAGGCTGGAGGTGGTCTGAGCACCAGATAAGGAAAATATATATAAAAAAACAACTATTATTGTCCATTATTTATCATGTAAGAGCCCCACTAGCGTTTCAATTTATGACGTGAATGCTCAGACCAGTAACAGCACTAACACTAGGTTATACATTTACTACACAGTACATAATTCCTTAATTCACGGTGAGGTGACAAAAAACCCCGACAACCTTGGACCTTTGAGAATCTCTAATATGACCACCACCAACACATAGTAGCAGAGCTCTTTGTGTCGTAAGACTAGGGACAGATTCTTAATGATTCACACGTTAGATTTTTCTTTCACACGATGAGAATCGTAAAAAAAAAAAAAAAAAAAACACCTGGCTACGTCGAAATTTGAAGTTGCAAAATTTCGACGATATTCTTAATTGCGACGATTTCTTTTCCTTTTGTAATTGTTGTTGTTGAAGGAGGAGGAGGAGGAGGAGGACAATCTTCGTGGTGTTGCGCACGTGATATACAGTAGCTTTAGTTGAGTGCTGACCGCCGGACCAGACGCTGTACTCACCTGTGGTCGGTAGGAACTCTCGCCCGCCTACAGTACACAGGTAAGGGGAGAAGTGTTGTGTATGTAATAGATTGATGGTTTTGTTTGTGGATGTATAAAATTTTTACTTGAGTGTATGTAGAGTGGGTGTATCAGGGTGGGAGTGGTGGGTGTATCGTGGTGGAAGTTGGGTGTTTGTGAGTGCATCATGGTCGGAGTGGTGGGTGTTCACATGTCAATAACGAATTTATAAGAGAACAATGAACATAAGATCGGCAGGGTAGCAACACAATAAAGGTTGTTTTTTGCCGGACAAAGGGCTCGGGCCATCTTTTGTTTACTCCGCAATTATTCATCGTCAGGGAACCGGAGAGAATTGTTGAGAGGGGGAGAGATGTGGTAATATCAAATTCTTTGTGTCCTTAATAAATAAATAAATAAATAAATAAGAATTTTGTTTATTAATTTATATTTTTTTTATTTACCCTTATCGTCCCTGATAAGGTCTTCCTTCCTTATTCATATTGGCCCAATTTTAGAGACCGTTCAATAATCTGAAGGGCGGTGAAGTTGGGAACCAAGTTGTTGACACTGATTCCAATGGTGGGGTCGTCGATATATTTCCAGCAAGCAGAGGTTTCTCTTAGGGCATCATTGATGAGCATAAGGAAGCAGAGTGGTTTCATCTTGGTGCCTTGGGGGACGCCACAGGTGAGTGACTGAAAAGTGGATACAGCCCCTCTGAAGCGTACTGCTTGGCGTCGGTCACTAAGGAAGTCTGTAAGCCATGGTATATATAAGACTTCTCCGAAACCCGAGGTCGATAGCTTTATTGATGATTAAATTGTGGTCAACTAGGTCAAATGCTTTGGTGAAGTCAATGAAGGCGACAGCCACAGACGTCTTTCGTTTCTCCAGATGGCGGTATATGTAGTCGAGAAAGCTGACAAGACAGTGAGTGGTGGAGGAAGTTTTCATATTTCCAATTTGCTGAGGATCTACGGCGCCTGCAATATCAGCATAAGCTCAGTCAAAAACGAAACTTTCGCAGATTAAGCTGGGTTTCGGGGTGATGGCAATGGGTCGTAGCTCATTTAAGGATTGTGGGCTGGTTGACTTGGGCACTGGTGACACAAATGTGGTCATCCAGTCAGCTGGGCATCTTGCTTGGCTGAGGGAAGCATTGATGATGGAGCAAAGGGGTTTAGCTAGTTCCGGAAAGAACTCCTTGTAGAGTTTCATTGGTAAGTCAATCAATGGGGGCGGTGGAGCTCTTTAACTTAAGTTTGTCCAGACGTTTTCCTACTTCAAATTCTTCCACTAAGTCAGTGGGAAAGGGTCTGGTAGGTAAGCAGGGAGACTTCAGTGTAATGGTACGGTCTGTCAGGAGTAGGTTTCCCTGGTTTTCTAGTGGAGGTGATGGTCCTAATGGGCCTTTGTTTATGACGTCCTTGTCTACGGCTGCGAGCATGGAATATGCTCAGTGATTTTTAGTATCATAAATAACACTGCCATCAGAATATCTGTTCCCTCGCTTTAAACTGTACAGGGTGCGCCTGGAGTACGTCACTGGTGGATATCTCTTGATAACTGTTGTTGTGGACAGACGGGAGTGTTTGTCCGTAGTGGCCATAAGCTAAATGGTGGCACTTTGAGGGCCACTGACACTGGTAGACATCTGTTAATATTTGTCTAGTCATAAACACTGCGAGTCCTTGTCTGTAGCACTTTAAGGGTCGCCGACACAGTACCACGGTATATGTAAACACCGTGGTGGTCCTTGTCACTGTAATAATAATAATAATAATAATAATAATAATAATAATAATAATAATAATAATAATAATTAACGGTTTATTGAAAAAATTCTGCAGCCCGAAGGCTGAAAATATACATTGGACATAAATGACTTATTACATACATTGGTGGTTTAACAAAAGCCTTCATTAGAGAAAGGTAAAGGAACATACAGTGAACATACAGATTAATGTAGGTGTTGAACAGCAAACTCGTAGTGTAGTAACTCCCTCCCAGATGGTGTTAGGAGGAACTCACGTGGTGTAGTAGTTCCCTCAGATGGTGTTATGAGGGACCTGGCGTGGTGTAGTAATTCCCTCGCAGATGGTGTTATGAGGGGCCTCACGTGGTGTAGTAATTCCCTCACAGATGGTGTTATGAGGGACCTCACGTGGTGTAGTAATTACCTCACAGATGGTGTTATGAGGGCCTCACGTGGTGTAGTAATTCCCTCACAGATGGTGTTATGAGGGGCCTCACGTGGTGTAGTAATTCCCTCACAGATGGTGTTATGAGGGGCCTCACGTGGTGTAGTAATTCCCTCACAGATGGTGTGATGAGGGACTTGACGTGGTGTAGTAATTCCCTCACATATGGTGTTATGAGGGACATGTGGTGTAGTAATTCCCTCACAGATGGTGTTATATGAGTGAGGTTTGGTCCCAGGCCTTCCTATCGTAGACGGATTAACACATCGGTGGTTGTTGATGGATCTCGCGGGCCGTTATCACTGGGTACCTGGGACCTCACTGTGTGAAGGTTAACTTGGGTACGACTGTTGCTGTTGAGTTGTTCTCACTGACTTAAGCACTGTTCACCACTGTTCACCTCTGTTTAACACTGGTTCCATTCCTTTCCTAAATGAAATTGTAACTTCTGGCGAGAACTTGTTGATATTCCGGTGGAGAGGAGGGTTCAGGGGAGGGAGTTGGTATGGGCCAACTTAACAGTTGACCTGGCTGCTCCGAGAGGAGCGCCAGGTACGTCTTGACCCTTCTGTGGTCAAGGATGTGTGTGTGTGTGTGTGAAGTGAATATAATCAGAGCTGTGGATGTATGTCTGAAGACGAACGTAGCTTCTAGTGATAAACACATTCTTTTAATATTGGTCCGGAAAGTTAAATTGTATCACACATGCATGACAAACGGTGTCAAACAGTAATAAACTAAAGACTGAGGTTTCTTTTTTCCTAGTCTAACCTTTGTACAAGTGTGTATGGAGGAAATATATAAAGGAGATAGATAGATAGATAAATAAATTCAAACAAACTTCCCAAATTAAATTTTAGGTATGCAAACGCCTTAGTTCAGGACGTTCAGGTGACGGGCAAGTCGAAGGGGATGATTGAAACCCGTCTTTTGACGCATTCAATATTTATTGATGTGGTCAAAACCTGCAGAGAACAAGGCGTTTATTAGTATTACATGGTGATCTATCTGATACATAATTAGTTAGTCTCAGACAATTTCATCTTAATTACAATTGATTATTTAGCATAGTGACATGATACAAAGTTCATAACTCTATTAATCTTAGTTACGCTTCATTCTGCATTGTCTTATTTCTCCAGATAAGGCAGAAACGAGTAGGCATAATTAGTCCACAATATTTCAGTACTGAGGGGTATGTCATCACTTTGACTGTACTTACAAGTGCGGGTCAATGAGAACCAGTATGGTGTTCCAAGGGACAATAGTACTGTGTAAATTGTTCCAGCACAAAACTCGGCCAGGATTGGGAGTCAGTGTTTACCACAGAGGGCTGATGGCTGGTCCTTACAGCATCACTTGAGAAGGCGATCTGCATCATGGAGGCCAGGCGGCCACGCCACCCTTTAAAGGAAGTTTAAACCATACACTCAGCAGAATCAGGGCATCTTGTTTGTGCAGGTTGCGGGGGGGGGGGGCGCACGTGGTCGCAGGCTGAGAGATTGAATGTTTGTTCGCTTAAGGCAACGCCAGCACTGTACTGTAGTTGAAGCAGCGGCGATAACAAGTATTTTTCATTAAGTAAAAACAAATGTTGAGGCAGGGGAGGCGTGTGGAAATATAACAACACACTTTAAAAAAATATATATTTATTCTGGAGAGACAAGAGATCCTGCATAAGACGAAACATTTTGTATGACCACACACACACACACACCATCCTCGCCACAGTCACCTACACTCACCAGAGAGCGGAACGTTGTAAACTCTTCACACCCCTCGGAATATTTGTAAGTAAACTGAAGAAAATAGACAACATCATTTTAGTATCATAAGTGGTAGGATTTTTGTGAACCATATAATAAAAACCATAAGTGACAATTATTGCAGGTAAAATTATGGCTTTTCTGGGGGGGAGGTGGTTAGGTACTGGTCAATATGTTCATGGTGTGATTGAAAAGTTGTGTCTGTGAGGCAGGGTTAGCTCGGTGGGTGTGCTCAGGAAAAAAAATTCATTTGATAAGTTTAAGAAAATTATGTAAATCAGACAACAACTTTGATACTCATTAAATCGTAGAGTAAAATGATACGAGAAAAGGTGATTAGTTATGATGGAATCGCTGTCCAAATTTGATGCCTTGATACCCGCTCTCCTACCCCGCACTACTACCCCCATTATTACTACTACCCGCACTACTACTACCCTACTACCCGCAGTACTACTACACGTCTTACTACCCGCATATAACCGCCTTACTACCCGCCCTACTGCCCGCCCTACTACCTGCCCTCCTACCCGCACCACTACCCGTCCTTCTATCCGCCCTACTACTCGGCCTGCTACCCGCAGTACAACCCGCCATCGTTTTGTCGTAGTTTAATAGTATCAGATAATGAACAAATTTTACATGCAAACGTTTGAGAATCGGTTTTCGGTATTTGTCAACACTGAAAACTTTTCTCCGTGTAATTTTACTCCTTTTACTTTTTTTTACTTTTATCCTCTTCGCCACTGATCGGCTCGTTAGCCGCTTGGGCGATCGGTCACGTCTCTGATTACTTTTCCTTTTCATTTATTCTCTTCACCAAAAGATCGGCTCGCTAGCCGCCCGGGCGCTCGGTCACGTCTCTGTCACGCACTGTTGGCAAATACTGGGCATGCACCGGCTCCTGAATGTACCTGAACCTGCTCCAGTGTTGGTCAAGTCTTCTCTTGAAAGAGCTCACACTCAGTGCCGTCACAACACTCTCTGGTAGATTGTTCCAAGAGTTTACAACCCTCATTCCGAAAAAGTTTGCCTTCACAGTTTTCTGGACTTGCGGCTTCTTCAATCTCGAGCTGTGACCCCTTGTGGGGCGAGCGTCTGCCAGTTCCAAGTAAGGACACTCGACTGAGTAGTGCCCCCTGAGATGCTTATACACCTCAACTAGGTCACCCCTTGCCCGTCTGTAGTATAAGCTAGGCAAGTTCAGGTGCTCCAATCTCTCAGGGTAGCTGAGGTGCCGAAGTGCAGGCACCAGTCTGGTGGCTCTCCTTTGAACATTTTCAACCAAGTGACAGTCCCTAGCATATCTCGGGGACCAGACTGGGTCACAGTACTCCAGATGGGGAAGCACTTCACTCTTGAAGATCGTTACGAGGGACAGACCGTCTAGATATCTGAACGATCTTCTTATAAGACCCAATAATTTATTTGCCTGGTTTACCTTCTTCTCGCAATGGCCCGAGAACTTCAGCTCATTGTCAACATACACACCTAGGTCCTTCTCGCATTCAGTCTCAACTAGTGCAGTTTCTTCATCCCGTTGGGACATATGATACTCCTCCTTACCGTTGGTACGCCCCAGGTGCATCCTCTTACACTTCGTGACATTGAATCTCAGCACCCATTTCTTCGACCATTCCTGGAGCCCACAGAGGTCCTTCTGCAGCTCTTCACAGTCCGCTTGGTTCTTGATTTCCCGAAATAACTTGGCGTCATCGGCAAACATTTGTATGGAGGAGTGTACAACGTCAAGCATGTCATTTATGAAACAAACAAACAACAAAGGGCCCAATACACTGCCCTGTGGTACCCCACCTGTGACAGGTATGGATGACGATTTCATGCCATTAGTCACCACACACTGCTTGCGGTCATGTAGAAAGTCTGAAGAAAGGGGGGAGGAGGACGTCTAATTATCTTCTCTTTATTTCGCACTTACACCTTTCACAACTTCGTAGGTGTGACTACTTTTAGGATATGTCTAATATCTTGTAGTAAGCTCAAGGCAATCGACGTTGATAAAGCTCGAAAATTTATCACTAAGGTGGTCAGATTTTTAAGTTTACCTGTCGAGTCACTGGGTAAGCATTGCCGTGTATCCACAGATAACCTTACATATTAACCTTGAAGACTGTGACGTTAGTTATGTGAGGTGTTGCTAGGCGTTCTTACATCTCTAGTAAGATAAAAATGATTTAGGAAGAAGCTATACCTTTTAATAAGAACTTTGATCCTTAGTGCACCTGTGTATGTGATCCGTCGCTGGGAAGTAAAGGGATACTGGATATAAATAATTACTTTATTCGTCTATGTAATAATAAAACTCATACTTAGATTTATATTGTACGCAGCTCTTGTAAGAACCAGAATATCCGCCACATTTCTATCTTATTTCTCTATTTATTCGAGTCCAAGAACGTTATTTACAAGGCCTTATAAGGATCCCTTCTTGTTCTGTTGTTTACAAAGTTTACTGTCGATCTTATTTACGTACAGTAATTCCGTTGACAAAAGACATAGCTTCATAATTATCACACCCCTAAACATGCAGAATTTTTATTATTAAGATAGATAGACAGATAGATAGATAGATAGATAGATAGATAGATAGATAGATAGATAGATAGATAGATAGATAGATAGATAGATAGATAGATAGATAGACTAACATTTTCACTCATTCCCAATAGAGACAACATGATGAGGCTCTACTACTCCCTCACGTCACCAAGAGTAGTCTCACTCATCATCACTACACTCACCTGCTTACTGTTAGTGATGTTGGCCCTCCCTGTCTCGACTGAGCTTCTTGAACTCAGCTACACCTACAACATCGACGCTCCGACCTCTCCTAAATTGAAGCCCTTCACTTCCACGATTCTCAATAAGAGTCTCAACGAGTTGGGTTTCTGGTAAGTGTATCTGTATTTATCATGGCAGGAAGTTTGTTAGTTGAGGTGTGCCGATGTTTTTCTTCCCAAGATGGCAGTAGTTCAAACTGACTCAACTGATTTGGATTTCCGAAAGAAAGGTTTCGCTAGAGAAGTCATTAGTGAAACTGGGTTCTATAAGCCCAGCTGGATCGACTAAGGGTACCGTCAGTGGCCGGCCGTGAGGAGGCAAGTGTTCTATCCACTCGGCCACCGCTCCTGTGTTTTATAAAAAGCTATCTGAAGAAGAAAAAAATGAACGAGTAGAGTATAGTTTCCGGCACAAAGTTCTGCTTAAATTTCCTGTTCTGGGTAATTCATCAGTGGTTCAGCTCTGCTAACAGAAATACTTGAAATACATGTAGCTGGAATTTTCATTTTTAACAGGAATTAATCATCTGCACAAGAGCGGCTCAGGAACCATGAATCTTTTAACATAGATTTCAGTTTGGTTGTCTTTTGCTCTTTCTGTGATGTAATGTCACTTGTAACTACTTTTATATACTTACAGTTTAGCTTTACCGAGTCTTCTGTTATTTTAGATTCCCTTGTTTAACTAAAAGACTTGTGTTGACTTACAGTTTTTTTATGGTATTTATTGCTGATAGAATTCCATTTTTATTAATAGACTTAGTTTTAATTACAGTTTTTTCACACTAATTACCTTTGTCAAGAGCCAAGTGTTTCGTTGATAGCTTATATTTCCTTACAGTTTTGTTTTAGCGATTGTCATACTTCATTGAGTCTTTTATTTTATTAATTGTCTTTTGTTTTACTGATAGTCTTTGGTTTTATTGATAGTCTTAAGTTTACTCTTAATGTCATTCTTGTCATAGCCCTTTATTTTACTGCACCGATTGTCATTTGTTTCACTTATACTTTTCTCTTTACTTATATTCTTTTGTTTTGCTAAGACTAATGAGTATAGTTTTACTTATGCCCCCTCCGCCCTCATTCAGTGCTCAATATAGACGTCCTCATCGGGTTTCTCTTCTCTTAGGGTGGAGCTGAATGAGTTTTGTACTTCTGAACACTCAGGAACCCACGTCGACGCCCCTGTCCACTTCTCCAAAGACAGTTGGACCTTAGACGCCATACCCTTGGACAGGCTGTGGAGGGTACCAGGTGTGTAGCGAGTGAATTTACAGACTGGTTACACGTTGAGATACCTGATGAGTCGATGGGTTCGTTTGGGAAAGAAAGAACCGGTGCTGAAAGGCCCTGGAAAGGATATGACAGAATTGTATGTGAGAGAACGGTGATCGGACGTCTCAGCAGGTCTTTGGTGAAGGAGAGGAGAAGTTTCACCCAACTCTTTCGTTTTAGTCACACAGTTTCCTCTAAGACTCACTGTTTTGGTCCTGTCAGAAGGGATCGGTTTCACTAGTTGGACGACAGGGACTAAAGGAGTGCTAAGCTCCGAGAGGCAGGCAAGAGTGGGAAGGCGCTCACTGTATGGGATTTAAAAAGAAAGATATATCTTTAATAGAAATAATGCGTAAAGAATTAAAACACACACACACACACACACACACACACACACACACACACACACACACACACACACACACACACACACACACACACACACACAAACTCTCATGAAAAACAAAATATATATATTCCCTAAAATTATCTGAAGGTGTGGTGATCGACGTCTCGGAGGCCATACGGGTGTCCGGGGAGAGGAACTATGGCATAAAAGCGAAGGACTTGGAGGCTTGGGAGGAAGACCATGGCACCATTCCTGACGGTGTGGTGGTACTCATCCGTACAGGCTGGGGCAAGAAGAGCCAGAATCTCGGGCAGTACTCAGGACTCGATCTGAAGAAGAGGAATAATTTCCCAGGTTAGAACGTGGGAGAGGAGAGAATATTGTTGCAGTTACTCCTGTAATGCGAGACGTTTTCTTTAGTGTGTTAGCCAGATAGTGTTCTACTTTATCCCTAAGTTTTCATATTTCTTTTGCATTTTTTTTTTGCCTTTCATATTCGAGTCTTTTGATTATCATAAGAGAGAGAGAGAGAGAGAGAGAGAGAGAGAGAGAGAGAGAGAGAGAGAGAGAGAGAGAGGCTATATGGAAGGTGATGGTCACTCGCATCAAGGTGTCTAAGTGAAACAGGGACCTTCATTCTGACAAATACCTGTATAGTTGGGACGCTGATCGTCGATACGCGTTTAGGTATTCAAGATATAAAAGTATACAGTACATTTAAAAGTACTTAATTGTAATCTCTAGACATATACAGTCAACAAAAACAGTCTATCTTCTTCACCTTTGGGTCCGATTAGTTTGGAAATGAATACCTGATTCCTGTTGCTTCGGTAGTGTTGGTATACATGATTGTGAGATGCATGTCTTGGTGATTATGATTTCTCTTCAGTATAGCGCTTCTTTTTTAATCAAACAAATAGATAGGATGAAAAACAAAGACAGTTAAATTTACTACGTTGTTTTACTCACATTTTATATCATTTCCACCTTCAGGGGATGAGTTGCCATTTAGGAATATAACGTATTATGAGAGGCTTGGTTGAGAATACAATGTTGTCATAAAAACAACTGAAGGTGGAGCCACACAAACATAACACTGTTGGTAACAAACATGTTGGATAAAAGATGTCAACAATGTTGGAAAGACAGGTGAAATATTATTTTCGTGTATTTTTCACAACATTATTGATAACACAATTGCCATCACATGTTACCAACATTGTTGTGTTGGTGTAGATCCACCCTAATTAAGAGGCCATTTCCTATGAATAATTACCCAACTAACCATGAAACACGTGAATCTCCAACTATGAGATTGGCTTCTTTGTGTTTACTTATTTACTTTGTATGAACCTAAGATAAACCTTAAATGCAAAGCTAAGATAGTCAGGAGAATCAGCACTAATGTCGCAGAGTACAAGGCGGACACGTCTGACCAGCGTTCAGGGAATAAATGTAGCAATTAACTTCACAACAAAGGAACATAATGAATCGGTTTAAAAAGGAAGTTTCAATCGTCATATGAAGAGACTTGGGGCGTTTAACAGAACTCTTGGTCCGGTGTAGGTAATTTTTGCTGACTATTTGACTATTTGCCTATATTCGTATACCTGTATTCTACCTGTGGTTGTCTATATACCTGTATTTCTGTATTTAGACCTGTACAATACATATGCCTATACCTATACCTGTATTTATAGTGATGCCTCCTAATTAATATAATGAAGTAACAACACCTGTACACTGTAAGTCCTCTTCCACGTCTTTGATCAGGAAACATTAGTCAGCTTATACCCTCACAAATACAGGTCCAGCTCCAGGTACCATACAAGTCCAATAATTAAAAGACGACCTGGCCTCTTCCTCCAGGTCTGAGTGAGGAGGCGGCGACTTGGCTTGCTACCCACGGATCAAGACACGGACACAGCAGGGGCGTGATGGGCGTGGGGGTGGATACTATCTCCGTGGACGTGGGCAATTCGACCCATTATCTCGCCCACAGAGCCATGTACTCACGAAACGTCTACGGGATGGAGAACTTGGCTAACTTGGACAAGGTGAATGTCGTGTGGGCTTTTGCCTCAGTTGTCTCTATGGACCAGTCCTAACTTCCTTACTGACTGGCTGACTGTTTACTAACTAATTGGCTGACTGTTTGCTAATTGACTGACTGACCTATTTATTAAATGACTATTTACTACCTAACTGACTGACTGCTTACTAACTGAATAACTTACTGACAATTTATTGACTTACTGACTGACTGACTGTTTACTAACTGACTGATTCACTAACTGACTGACTGACCGACCAACTGACTGACTGACTGTTTCACTAACTTACTGATTGACTGACTGCCATAGATAACCGTTCAAACTAGCGTGGACTGCCAACAGCCTATAAATAATGCTCGGTTACGCTCATTGCACCACAGAAGCAAAGCAACATCTAATGATTAGAGTTACTAAAGGGGACAGCAGTATTTACCTGTGATGTCCATAGTGTGTTGTAAAAGATAAATTAAATGGACAGGTAGACTGGAGATAGACAGACAGACAGACATACAGACAGATAGATAGATAGATAGATAGATAAATAGATAGATAGATATTTATTCAGTAAAATTTACATTGCATCAGTGTGTATATACAGTAGACAATGCAGGTATACAATGACCGTAGACAGTACAGTTATACAAACAATGATATATATTAAATTGCTTCGACCAAGGATAGACAAATAAAGCCACCAAGTGTTTATCTCCAGTAGGGTCATATTGTGTGTTTTGTAAATTTTTGGTAATTGTGTTATGAAAGGTTTACATAGTTGAGTGTTATATTTTTAGTATTAATTATCAACATTGTCATTATTATTATCATCATCACTTTCACTGTCAACCATTACCACTATCACCTTCACTATCTCCACCACCATGAACTTACTGGTCTCCCCTTGGTCGGTTCTCTCAGCTTCCTCCTTCCGGGTTCCTCCTCACCATCTTACCCATGAAGATCGGTGGAGGGAGCGGCGGCCCTGCTAGGATCATCGCCGAGGTACCTGTAGGAGTGCCCAGCTCCATTGTGGACACTGCTGGGTCCTCGTGTTTGTCTTCTTGTCTCTCCCTTCCCTTCGTTCTCCTTCTGGCTCGTATGATGATGTCGGGGCTTCAAAGGCTTTAAAAATATATTTGGAACCTCATTAGATATTGGAGGATGTATGCCTTTGACTTGTAAGATATATATTTTTTTTTAATCTAAAGCAAGCAAGTTCTGTGTACGCCGGTAGTGTGCTGACCACATATTAGAAGTGAGAAGTCCAACTGTGAAGACTACTGTGAACAGTCTTGTGAAGAATTACAGTTTATTAAAGAAGACTACAGTGCACAAGTGTGTTTCTGTGACCTGGTGTAAATCTACCTGCCTGTTGTTTGTCTGTACAGTCATACCGATCGTCGGGAAATTACCGGAGAATGGCATGACAGGCAGTGGTAGTTCGATGACACATGAGATATCTACTGCTTCTGATATATACGACCTGGCCGCTGGTAACCAGTAATGGAAGCTGGGTAAGCTGTGAAAGGAGGGTCGTAACAATACAAACTCACTGGATAAGAGGCATTTAATTATAGTAGAGTATGTATATTTTAAATGCTATTGCTTTTTATTGTTGTCTATCTGATAAAGGTTAATTGGCCTTTTTAATGTACGACACATATCGGTTTTATCACTTGCCTAGACAAATATTCTGGGAAACAAACGATATTTTTTGTTTAAGTTACTCCTTGATAAGTTTTACAGAAAATGAACTTGATTAGGGGGATAACTTAGCTGGATTCCTCTATTAACCTTACACGCGTCTCTTAGTCTTCCCTGTCATGTTAATCTTACTTCCTGAACTTACGCATCGCCTAGGGATAAAGCCAGCAATATCCCTTTTGTTAATTGCTAGAAGGGTAATGCTTTGCTTTGCTCATAGTTTAAACCAAGTGCGTGAATTAACTACCTACTGCACGACATTTCAACATAAAACATAATTGCTTTCTTACTTCACGAACAATACATTTTTCGCGATATTTATTTTATGTTATTGGTTTTTTCTCATGAGTACCATTTGCCGGGTGCTCATCCTCGACCTCTGACGCGGCCATTTCCTAGACCTCTCCACGTCCCTGAAGGATGGATGGTTCTTTCATATAATTTTTTCTCCAGATAATAATATAAATCTGATACTTTATATTAGATTAGTTTATGGTAAGTTTTGTATGTTTGGTTAGGTCTGGTTAGCTAGGTCGGTTTAATTAACATCAGATAAACTACATTGAGGCAGTAGTCTGCAACTCTGGGCTTTCTTGTGAGATGCGTCAACTGTGGTGACGAGAACAGTAAGGTACAGTCTCATTCACTAGTGCGTTTCCAGGGGCTTGTCGTACAAACATTACACAATTCATTAGTTTTAAGATATTTTTTTTAATAATGTTTCAGTTTGATTCCATCGTATGTTTACTATTACTAGTTTCCTTCTGTGAACACACTAGTGAAGAGGACTGTACAACAACCAAGTAGCACCAAGTTGCAGAAGCAGTACAGTACAGGTCTTTCGTACAAATATACGTCAGCTGAAACGACAAGTGCATGCAAGAACGACAATCGGTAGGGATGAAGTTGTATTAGACTCACGTTACGGTCGAATTCATAACTACAGCACTATTCCTAAAAAAATGTGACTTAACGAACTTAAAACAACTATCAGTGACGAAGAGGATTAAAGTTTAAAATCCCTAGACTGGGCCTTAACCCTAGATGAGCAGGAGGCCACGTGTGAGGAGATACTATCTTGTTTACATCGTGCGTGAGGTGGGGTCGGCCCGCCTCTCTTCAACAAAGCTCCGCCCACAGCACTGTGCGCGTGATTGTGGTCAGGTCTGGCAAGGAGGTTCAGTGTGTTTGCCTCTGAGAGCGGAGTAGGTAGTGAGTTTCGCGACAGGCATAGGGGGGGGGGGTGGTGGGGGGGGCACTAAGGAAGGTGTGTTTGGTGAGGGTGAGACTTATATGCTGTAAGACGTACCAACTGAAGACTAATTTTATGGAAACCTGCCCCTACCATTTGCCATTCCTTGCTAAAGTTAATAGTTTTTGTAAAGTAATAGAAAACAAATAAATATTTTTTTATGACAGATAATTACGATGATGTTTACTTCTCACGAAAACCCCCCCAGTCAATAGCCGAACTGACAACCGCCCTATTAAGCGTACCAGAATTCAGTGTTTTAATTTGTATCTTGTTTTTGTTTCAGGAATTAGAAAGAGTACTGTACAATATCAGAAAGAAACTAAAAGTCTTAATTCTAAAAATATAATCCAGAGATAAAACACCACTGAAAATTAATCACTAGCTGCTAGTTATCGGATAACTTTAGCGGATAACAAGGTCATTATTGGGTCATTGTTAACTTGGTGTTCGGACGGTCGGAGTTAGCCATCCTGGGTTGGCTGGGGGTGTCTTGCACGCGGAGGTTGTGGAGAGCACTGACCGCCTGGGCTCCTTCACAACACGTCAGCCTACACTCGTCCCTGCGTGCCCCGTGACTAATCTAAGTGAAATAATTTTACTCCATCGATCATATATCTGCTGGGTGACAAGTATAGTGACCACGTGATGCAGTATATTATTTTATTCTGTAAACAGTAAAAGGTGACAAGTGGAGTGAAGAAGTTTATGACTACGAATACCACCACTAAAACATTGGTGTCTTAAAGGCAACAGAGTGTAGATTTGTTAATGATCAGTGTTTAGTAGTAAGTGCTTTCACGAAAAAAAGTGTATAAGTAGTAGAAAACTGTTCCAAGTGACTGTCGTTTCCCGGATAACTGATGACCACTAACTGCTTAGTGACTGTTACTCGGTCACAATAACATGGAGTCGTTTCGAGGTAAGAGTCTCCTTGTTTATATCAGCTGTGTATAATAGAGTTTCAAGATTTATTTTCTCAACAGGTACTTATTTATAATCAGGTGTTTCTCAAGATTGGCTGGGGATTGGAGAAGGGGTGTTGGGGGCGGTACAGTACTCGGAATAAATAGCACTAAGAAAGAATGACAACTGTCAAACTAGGAGACAATTGCCCAAAAAATCGCCGGGTGAAGGCGAGGAGGTCAGGTTAGGTCAAAGCTTATATGTCTCATGTGACTAATGGACCATCAGATATCGATTAGATTTTTGGGGTTAGGTTAGGTTAGGTTGACCTGGCCCCCTCCCCTTAACCTAGTAACATTTTTGTGCCGTTTTACTCATAATTTGACATTCATTGTGGATACATAGTGAGATGTCGCATTTTATTAGGTAGCATTGTCAAGTTCAGGCTGGCAAAAATCTTGGATAACAGTTGATTGTAAAAACCCTGGTTTATGTCACTGATTTTATTACCATGAGCTATACGATTTTATACAAATGACATTTATGCTCAAATTTACCAACAATATTACACTTAGCAACGTGATAAACTGACAAAAATTCAATCGTTTCTTACTAAAAACGTATTTAGGAAAGTGTTACGTGTGCCGGAACCGATGATAGGCTTAAATCAAAGAGACCATAATACTTGTAAACAGTACAGTAAATACTTAAAGTTTTCTAAAAATATTGTCAAGTGTAGAATATAAGATAATAATTGGTGCTTCTAGACAACAACAGCTTTAAAATAAGAGTGTTGTAACAGCCTTCAGAAAAGTACCATTAGCCATTAGTGTTTTTGACAGATTAACACTCAAGAAAAATTTATCAAAACTATTTTACAAAATTAGCAAGCAAAATATGGCTAGGATGTTGGTCCATTATAATATTCGATATGAGGGAACATAAAAATTATTGATTTTAACTTTGGCAGCGTTTTTCCATAAAGTTATTGAATATAAGACGCATTCTATAAGGTGCCGATGACTTGGCTAGTTTTCCCGCCAGGCGAAAGTCCGACGCTGGTGGATATGAGTACGACCCCCACGACCCCCCACTCACCACTTTCTAGCACCTTCTACACTCACTCACCACCACCACTACTACTACTACTACTACTACTACTACTACTACTACTACTACTACTACTACTACTACTACTACTACTCACCACCACCACCTACACAATGTACTGTATACCCAAGCAATGTATTCACCCCCGGGCTGGGCAGTGCATATTAGGTGATGATAAATCCGCGCTTGACATATCCGTATAATATCATGCACCTTAAAGATTATTCGGATAATTAGTCGTAGGTTCGGACATGGTATAAATTGGGATGATAAAATACGTAATCCGAACAACGCATCAAGCTCCCGGCCAAACGGAAACACGACAATATGATTTATGTCCGAATAATACGACTTCTGCCGGACGAACAATGAACATGACGCAAAACAAAATTCAGTTTTCTTTGATAGTTAGTAGCCCAGGTGCCACTTTGTCTCGAGTGTGCCACAAGTATGGAGAAAGTTGGCATGAGGGTTGAAGTGAGAGAAAGGGTAGGAGTAGAGAAAGCACTCTTGTATATCGGTTACGCCAGATGGTGTTTGGTCACGAACTTAAAGATGAATAGGAAATAACTACGAGAGAGTTATTATTATATATATATGTCAAGCGACATGTTGTTTTCATACGTACATTAATAATATAGAATGCGAAATGAAAATAGAAAGTTACCAGGACTCTTATCTTCTACAGCTCCTGAGGTTTAAGTTTTCAGCTAAATAGAAAATAATATGAATCACGTTGAGATAAAATTAAATACGACTCAAAGTAATACGCTATATACCCGGCGCCTAACATACTGTTTATGAACCTTTGACATTAATCTGTGAGCTTTTTAACCTCTGACTAGATAAATGAGTTGTTTAAGGTGTCTGTAATTATCACAAAACCTCGCAATAAGCATGAAAATAATTACAGTGAAAACAGAAAACGTTGCAACTGTTTCAATACACACACAAAAAAAAAAGTTACCACCATCCCTGAAAAGACTTGCTGTAAACACAAAAATGAACAGTAAACATTCTTAGTCCCAATATGTACAGATCTCTCGTTAGTCTTTTAAAAACATTCCACTCAACCTTAAGTAAATAGAGATGCTGTCTAGAGCTCACATAACGTGGAGCATCAACATTACCATCTGCAGCACACACAACAGGCGGTCGTCCTGTTAAGCTGAGGCATTTCTAAACAAACTCTGACCTACCTTACGGGACTCACTCCATGTTGCTGGTTTTTGTACTGAAGGAGGAGAGATCGCTGAGTTTTGTTTACCTGTGTGTGTGTGTGTGAGTTTTTGGAGGCTGAGAGTGTATGTTGTTGGGAGATTGAGAGAGAGAGAGTGTGTATATATGTGCGTGTGTGTGTGTGTTGGGGCTAAGCGTGTGTGCTCGTTAACTGTTCATATACAAATATTCCCAATACAGTATTTTAATCGCCTCTGTCAGATTATCGTGAGGCCAAATTTGTCCTTCTGTTCACCCACATTTCCACCATCGGTCAGTTTTTTTTATCCTCGCTATTGTTTTTTATCACATTTTCTCTTCGTAAAGATAATCTCACCCATGGAAACATTTTAGAGCACAAATTGAAGTATATTTTTACACTATAATTATTACAACAGAAATTCTATAATCTTGTCTGATAAAAGTCACGTTGAGCACTGGTCGTGTATATCGTCTCGCAGAAGGTTCCTCAACATACGAATTGATGGAAAAGAAATCAAGCTGTGACATTAATCTGTGTTGCCAATGAGTTAAAAAAAAACCACCTAAGATTAACTCTCATAATATTCGCCTGCTTGTCTCTCTAACTGGTGTCTTCTCAATGCTTATCTTCAGCTATTTGCGGTTTGTTCACTGGTTTACGGCTCTCTCCAGTACCTATCTGACGAAGTAGCTCTCCTCCACGTCCATCTAGAGGCTGGGGAGATGAGAAAGTGCGTACGGTTGTTTTCTATGCGTTCTCTTATTCCTTTGCATAATTTGTTTTCCTAATTCTCCACTCCTTCATTTATTTGAGGTTATTTTCTTAATCCAGACGTGAAAGAGAGGAATTGAAGTTACGTTTATAGTCACGTTATATTGTGTCGTTAGGATAATATAAAAAGAATATTTAGTGCTATTTTTTTCGCATCAATGAGAAACCTTGTTGATTGTTTTTCATTTTGTTTATTAGTTTATAAGGTTGAACTATGGCAAACCCAAAAATATTAAGAGTTTGATTGTCTATATTTTTCGTATCTTATTCAGCGGTGAAGAAGTTAAACAAAATAAAGAATAAAGTATGTTTTGTTTTTTTCTCGCCAGAATTCTTTGTTGGTTTGGACTTTCAATCTGTTCTGTTATGTTATGAACTAAAGAAGAACAAACACAAGAACACTTACTGGAGTTTTTAAGACATTGTTTTGACATACTTCATAGCATAAATGACAAACTTCTTGAGACAAAAAAACAAAAACAATAATGTAAATATCTCAAGAATTTTTGTTGACACATTTACGGTGAATTAAGGTGTTAAAACGAATTTGAATAATAGATAACACGAAAAAATAAACATCATGCTAATAAAGAACCAACAGGTGAGAGGAGGAATGTACTAGGTGAGAAAGACGTACGAATGAAAGGTTAATTGGTTGGGCCAGCTGGAGACGGGAAGGCCTTAGGAGGAGCTGTCCAGGTCAAAGAGGAGGGAGGCGAGCCACACATAGATAAATAGTCAGGGGATGAGTTGCGGAGTTGCCGAGGTGTGTTGCACTATGTCGGGGGTGGGGGCTAGGGAAGGGTTGTAGAGTGTCAGGGAGGGTTGTGGAGTGTCAGGGAGGGTTGTAGAGTGTCAGGGAGGGCTGTAGATTGTCAGGGAGAGTTGTAGATTGTCAGGGAGGGTTGTAGAGTGTCACGGAGGGTTGTAGAGTGTCAGGGAGGGTTGTAGAGTGTCAGGGAGAGCTGTAGAGTGTCAGGGAGGGTTGTAGAGTGTCAGGGAGGGTTTGTAGAGGTGTCAGGGAGGGCTGTAGAGTGTCAGGGAGGGTTGTAGAGTGTCAGGGAGGGCTGTAGAGTGTCAGGAGGGTAGAGGTCAGAGTGTGTGTAGAGGTCAGGAGGTTGTAGAGTGTCAGGGAGGGTTGTAGAGTGTCAGGGAGTAGAGTGTCAGGAGAGCTGTAGAGTGTAGGGTAGAGTGTAGAGTGTCAGGGAGAGCTGTAGATACCTGGAGTTGTAGAGTAATAAAATTGTTGGTGTGGCTTAGTGGGAGTGTAGTGTTTCCAGTGGTTGTATTACCAATGATGAAGTTATAACAGTGTTCGGAGGGTTGTAGGGTACCGGTGGAAGGTTGTAGGAGTCTTGGACACGGGGTAAGAGTGAGGTAAAGTACGTGAGTGATCCCCTTCCTCACTCTCTCCCTCTGTATCTACGAGTGAGGTAAAGTAGGCAAGTAATCCCCTTCCTCACTCTCTCCCTCTGTATCTACGAGTGAGGTAAAGTAGGTGAGTGATCCCCTTCCTCACTCTCTCCCTCTGTATCTACGAGTGAGGTAAAGTAGGTGAGTGATCCCCTTCCTCACTCTCCCCTTCTGTATCTACGAGTGAGGTAAAGTAGGCGAGTGATCCCCTTCCTCACTCTCCCCATCTGTATCTACGAGTGAGGTAAAGTAGGTGAGTGATCCCCTTCCTCACTCTCTCCCTCTGTATCTACGAGTGAGGTAAAGTAGGTGAGTGATCTCCCTTCCTCACTCTCCCCTTCTGTATCTACGAGTGAGGTAAAGTAGGTGAGTGATCCCCTTCCTCACTCTCCCCATCTGTATCTACGAGTGAGGTAAAGTAGAGGATCCCCTTCCTCACTCTCCCTCTGTATCTACGAGTGAGGTAAAGTAGGTGAGTGACAAAGTAGGTGAGTTCCTCACTCTCTCCCTTCTGTATCTAC